ACAAGTCCGGGAGACGCTGCGGGAAACTGTGGTGAAGTCACTGTGCTCTTCCGAGAATTCCTGGTCTTCCTGAAGGATAACAAAGGCACCACAGTTCATCCCTGGTTTTTAAGCAGCCAAGCTAGTGAAGTTGTTATTAATGACCTCAAGATTTCCAGTATTTCCCCTCAGTTAGAGCAGTGTTTTTGCACTGGGGAGTGCTCAGGCTGGGTAGAAATTCCCCGGAAAAGGCTCAGAATTGCCCCTTTAATTTCTCCTGCTGCCCATCCCGGGCTTGCTCCGAGCGTGCTGCCGTTCCCTGGATCCCAAGTGAGTTGTGTCCCGAAATGCAGTGCCCTGGAGCGGGTGATCCCTGTTTGGGTTATCCCTGTTTGGGTTATCCCTGTTCGTGTGATCCCTCAACCCCCGGCTGCTGATTCCAGCAATTCCAAGGGAATCTCAAAACTCCTGCCTGCAATCCCCAGGTGTGCTGAGCTGAGGGGAAGGAAACGGGAGGTGTGGGGAGGGAGGGCTCCCAAAGGCCGTTTTCAGGGATGAGTTTCTGTGGGAAGATGTCGCGGCCCCATCAAAGCAGCGTCCGGGGCTCTGCAGCCCTTCCAGGAATTATTGGAACTGTCCTGGGAGCATGGAAGGAGCAGGGAGGGAATTTTAAGCAGTTAGAGGTCACTGTGTCTGCTCTCCATCCTGAAGGGATCCAGAAGAACTGCTGGATAAGGAATAACGAGCGGAAGGCAGGGACCCACACAGCTGATCACTATGGATGAGCTGGGGCTTTTCCAGAGGATTTGATTGAAGCTGCAGGACAGAAAAACATCAGTAATGCTGATATTTTTAGGTTTAGGGGCAGAAATCCTCTGTGTTTGGGGTTTTTTAGAACACCAGGTCAATGTTTGCAGCAACCACCGAATTCTTTGCCGTCCCCGAGGTCGGAACCTGCCAGTTCAGAGCAGGGCAGTGACTCAGGGGGTGAAATCACTGCCCAGAGCCCACCAGCCCTGCCAGGAGGCTCAGGAATGCAGCCCAGGAGTGCTGTGCCAGGAATATCGATCCTCTGCTGGGGGAGTGACTCACCTGAAACGCTGGATTTGTTCTTTTGGGTTCCACGCAGTCTGGGCTCCTCCACCACCGGGATGAGTAATTAAAGCAATTAGTGGGTTCACAAACCAGTCTGCAGGGAGTGGGAAGAGCTGGAATGTTTGTTTTACAGGATGGGCTGCTTTTCCAGCAGAGCTGCAGCTCCTCCCAGCACCCAGCCTGGCTCGATTTTTGGCTGATTTTTGGCTGATTTTGCCTGATTTTTGGCTGTGCTCAGTCCCTGCACTGCAAGGAGCAGGGAAACAGTATTTTAGGGAATAAGGAGATGGATGTATGGATAGATGTGGAGAAAGGAGGAGACAGGATGACAGCTGGGGGTGTTCAGCCTGGAGAAGAGAAGGCTCCAGGAAAGGCTAAAGGGGCTCCAGGAAAGCTACAGAGAGAGACAAGGGATGGAGTGACAGACAAAGGGGGAATTTAGCTGGAATATTGGGAAGAGATCCTTCCCTGGGAGGGTGGGCAGGCCCTGGCACAGGCTGCCCAGAGAAGCTGTGGCTGCCCCAGCCCTGGAAGTGTCCAAGGCCAGGTTGGACAGGGCTTGGAGCAACCTGGGCTGGTGGAATGTGCAGGGGGTGGAACTGGATGATCTTTAAGGCCTCTTCCTACCCAAACCATTCCACGTGGGATGTTTTCCCCCTGAAGATGGGAAGATCTGGCCTCTCCAAGCCCCGTGTGTTGTAGTACCATGAGGGGCACAGAAAACCAGGAATGCTGCCCATCCTCCAGGGCAAAGCAATCTCTGCTCCACTAATTCCCAAAGGCAGACACTTCCATGGATTTCCCTGGGTGTCTCTGAGGGGTTGCCAAGCCTCGTGTTCCCTCCCTGTTCCCCACCTGCTCCTTTCCTGTGGGGAGCACAGGGAATGCTCAGGGAAGATGCCTGTCTTAGTGGTGCATTTTAGGCTGAGATGGGATGAAATGCTGGCAGATCTGGGAAAAGAGGATAAACCAGCTGGCTCTGGGGGGTGATTCAGTGACCCTATGAACTGTATGAACCAGCTTAGGGAGGGTCAGTGAGCTGAGAGCAATAATCAGGACTAATCTAATTAATTGCAAGCCTCTAAGGCAGTTTTCTCTACACTTGAGGAGCAGCTCTGCTTGAGGGGATAATCTTCTTGGAAGGTTCCTCTGGCTTTCCCCTGGGCAGGGAGAGCCCTGAGCCAGCCCCTGGTTTGGTGGAGTCAGGGCTGCTTTTGTCCTGGGTGGAATCCAGGGGGAAAAGCCAGTGATCCTGGGGGATTGACCCTGCTGGGAACAGGCACCACCAAAACCTCTGCAACTGGACAGGGGAGACAAAACCTGACCAAGGTTCCTGGGCTGGGATCAGGACCAGGAGAGATCCCTCACCCACCACCTCCTGGAAACCAGACCCACACTGGGGACAGGAACTGATTTATTACTGACCAGAGCAGAGCAGGAGAATGAGAAGGGAAATGCACCCTAAAAACACCTTCCCCCACCCCTCCCTCCTTCCCAAGCTCTCCCTCCTCCCTCCAGTGGCACAGGAGATGGGAATGGGGCTGCAGGTGGATCTGATCCCTCCTGGGCTGCAGGTGGATCTGACCCATCCTGGCTCTCCCTGGGCTTCCCCATGGAATCCCAGGGGAATCTCAGCCCTGGTCCCCGGAGTAGCTCCTGCCCCTCCTCCTGCCCTGCCCTGGGCTCTGCAGAGCTGTTCCTCTCACATATTCCCATTCCTCTCCTCTCTGCACCCAATTCCATCGGGGCAGGAACCTTTTCCTTTTGGCTGTGTTATCCCAGAGGGGTTCCCACCATCTCTGCTGGCTCAGCCTCGGCCAGCGGCGGGTCCGTCCTGGAG